TTCTTTCTCTTTAGAACGTCATGTGTTTAGTTCTCTCTCTCTATAACGTCATGTGTTTAGTTCTTTCTCTCTATAACGTCATGTGTTTAGTTCTTTCTCTCTAAAACGTCATGTGTTTAGTTCTTTCTCTCTATAACGTCATGTGCTTAGTACTTTCTCTCTATAACGTCATGTGTTTAGTTCTTTCTCTCTATAACGTCATGTGTTTATTTCTTTCTCTCTATAACGTCATGTGTTTAGGTCTTTCTCTCTAAAACGTCATGTGTTTAGTTCTTTCTCTCTATAACGTCATGTGTTTAGTTCTTTCTCTCTAAAACGTCATGTGTTTAGTTCTTTCTCTCTATAACGTCATGTGCTTAGTACTTTCTCTCTATAACGTCATGTGTTTAGTTCTTTCTCTCTATAACGTCATGTGTTTAGTTCTTTCTCTCTAAAACGTCATGTGTTTATTACTTTCTCTCTGTAACGTCATGTGTTTATTACTTTCTCTCTGTAACGTCATGTGTTTAGTTCTTTCTCTTTATAATGCCATGTGCTTAGTCCCTTCTCTCTATAACATCATGTGTTTAATCCTTTCTCTCTGTAACGTCATGTGCTTAGTTCTTTCTCTCTATAACGTCCTGTGTTTAGTCTATAACGTCATGTGTTTAGTTTTTTTCTCTCTATAACGTCATATGGTTAGTCCTTTCTCTCTAAAACGTCATGTGTTTAGTTCTTTCTCTCTATAACGTCATGTGTTTAGTTCTTTCTCTCTATAACGTCATGTGTTTAGTTCCTTTCTCTCTATAACGTCATGTGTTTATTACTTTCTCTCTAAAACGTCATGTGTTTAGTTCTTTCTCTCTATAACGTCATGTGCTTAGTACTTTCTCTCTATAACGTCATGTGTTTAGTTCTTTCTCTCTATAACGTCATGTGTTTAGTTCTTTCTCTCTAAAACGTCATGTGTTTAGTACTTTCTCTCTATAACGTCATGTGTTTAGTTCTTTCTCTCTAAAACGTCATGTGTTTAGTACTTTCTCTCTATAACGTCATGTGTTTAGTTCTTTCTCTCTATAACG